AAGTTTCTCTTAGCTTTTTTTTAAAACTTAGAAAAATACTGTACTTACTTGAAAGAAATCCCCCCCCCATAAATATCAGGGCATTAAATGACAAACTCTCCATTAAAAATAAAAGTAATTTAACACAAAAGAGCAGAGAACTTTATTACTTGTCCAATTGCATCACCTAAAAGAAAATTCTCTGGTAACCTTGTTTTTTGTTGTACCATTAGATGTATCATGATTTGATAAAATCTTGGCCAGATAACAGGACCGGGGAACATATGACTAGGAATTGTTTGAATGTTGTCCCTAATCATGCTAAAACTGATGGTTTGGATATTGATTGGATTCATCATAAGGAAGATTCTCAAAAGTTATCTTCTCCCTTTTACGTACTTAACTGAAAGACAATGATATTGAATTTATAGGAGTTCTCTACTATTAATATCTGATCACTGATCTCCCACTCCCATTAATGGGAGACAAACCAGAACCTATTCAAATACTGTGGTGTGTTATGAGGAAACACACTCTTACCATGAACCAACTCAAGAGCAACTGGAAAGCTATTTTAAGACTATGTTATTGCAGCTTCACTGTTTTATTATGACTTTGCACTTCCTCTGTATTCCGCACTTCCTTCTCTTTCAGACTGCAGAAAACCTTGCGTATGTCTTACTGTACATTTAGTTCAGGTTTAAAAGATTTGAAGATTTAAAATTCGTAAGAGATACAGTGTTGCTGTAAACATCCACCTCTTTGAAGTGCAGCTTCAGAAATCACAATGGTATTCAGAGTGCAAATACAACAGAGCTTTCAAAATGAAACCAACTTAACAATGAGCTTCTTCTAACATAAAGCCTGCTAATGACTTAACAGAACAAATAGAAAATTTAGCCCCGGGGTGTCAAATTCAATTTCATTGAGGGCCGCATCAGCATTGCGGTTGCCCTTGGGGGGGCGGGTGGGTGTGGCCAGGGTGAGTGTGGCCTACTGGGTGGGCATGGCCAGCTCTACATCATTCGCGTCAAGGGTGCCTGTGGGGGCCTGGGCAAGAGTGGGACAGATCTGAGGGTCTCTGGCAGAAGGGGGTGGGACCGGGGCAAGCGCCAAGATGTGGTGCATTTCTTCATTCCTCACAAAGGGTGACACCTCCCCAGCATGCACCAGGGGGCGGGACCGACGCAGCAGGGGCTGGTTCCTCATTATTTCCAGACGGCCTTGTGGAGCTAAGACTGAATGCGTTTCGGCATAGATGGCCACCACAACATTGTACATTAGCTCCTGGCCGGCCTGGGCCAGGGCCAAGGCAGTGGGGGCCGTTCCCTCACTGCTTCCAGGATGGCTTTGCGGGCCACATGAAACCACTTCACGGGCCGCATCCAGCCCCTGGGCCTTGTGTTTGACATGTCTGATTTAGCCCGTAGTCACCCACTCAGTTAAGCTCCCTGTGCTTTAGGAAGACCGCTCATCTGGTTAGGATATTAAAAGGTCTCATTAGAAATGGTGAGGATTTGGGTAGCCTCACAAACAGGGGTATCTCCTACTTTTACACAAATCAGCCTAAGGTGCTTTTATTTATGTAAGATTTGTAAGACCGGTTAAAGCAGAATGGGAATCTTAAATAAACCATTACTTTTAGGGATATGCACAAGATTGAAAATATGGTTTGTTTCAAGCTCAGAATGAGACAGCTCAGTTCAAAGTATTTCAGTGATGAAACAACATTCAAAATGTTTCAGTATCAGAGTTACAGAAAAAATTGGTAACTTGGAACACGTTCTTTGCTTTCTTGTTTTCCGTCAAAAGTCACAAGAGTAGGTGTGCTGCAAGTTTATGCTGAATTATTTTTTTTCATAGATATCCCAGTTTTTGTCTGAGAACTCAGGGCAATGTACATGGAGTGCTTCCATATCTTACTCCACAATTTGGTAAGCTAGGTCAGGCTGAGATTATATGTCCCATTTGACCATGATCAAATATAACTACTACACTGCAATGCACTGCACTAAACTCCATTGCTAATTGCCTTCCAAACTGCAGTAAAATTGATAAAAGATTTTGGAAACATTAAAAGAAATCCTTAAGGAACAATAAGAACAACCAACTGTTTTAAATTATGTAGGTGGAGAAGCTTGATAGTCTATGCCAGCAAAAATTAGGATTCTGGGGGTATTTTTTAGAAGTAATTGGGGCTCCTCAAAAGAGAAATCTTTTTAAGTTTTAAAAATCCTGAAGCTCCTAGACAACCCATTAATTAATATAATGAGAATACTACTCAGAAACACTTCTTATAAGGTTCCGTTTTTTTTTCCAGTCTGCCAACTCGATGGCATTTTCTGATGCTTTTGAATGTATGTAATTGGGGGAGGGAGGGAATTATTCATGCTAATATACATGAATAATATTAAAATTACAAGAAGACATAGAAGGGAAAGGCTATCATGCATCCTGGGGCTAGGAAACGATTTTCTAGGGCACGGTGTCAAACTCGCTGCTCACATGACGTGTCGCGATGTACGTGACTTTTGCATTGCTGGAGCTGGGCACGGCCTCCATATGATGAAACCGGCCCGCGGGCCAGCAGTTTAACATCCCTGTTCTAGGAGAATTAAAGCCCCCTACAAGTCTGTGGATCTTTGTGAAGCTGAAAAGACCAATTAGAAATATGGATTCCTAACCTTTGTCTTCCAACATTACATCAACATACACCAGGGTGGTTTGTTGGCCCATTCTTTTTTTAGCAGCCTTTCAAAACTATCACAGACTTCCCCAAATGACATAGAATCTAATCATGGAAATATTATGCTGATGTATAAACAGTTCTAAATAAGCCAAATTACACTAAAATAGAAATTCAGAGTGTCCATTGAAGTATGTAAGTTGGGCACACTGTCACACCCAGGTAAACTGCCAAACTAATTCCAATAGGGTGAAAATTCACAGATACCGATTTTTAAGATGCTACACAGAAGAGATAATAATAATAATAATAATAATAGTAAGAATAGTAATAGTAATAATAATAATAGTAATAATAATAATAATAAAGTTGGAAGGGACCTTGGAGGTCATCTAGTCCAATCCCCTGCTCAGGCAGGAAACCCTATACCATTTCGGACAAATGGCTGTCCAGTTTTTTCTTAAAAACTTCCAGATTGGAGCATTCACTGCTCCTGGAGGCAGGTTGTTCCTCTGGTTAATTGTTCAGTCAGGAAGTTTCTCCTTAGTTCTAGATTGCTTCTCTCTTTGATTAGTTTCCATCCGTTGCTTCTCGTCCTGCCTTCAGGCGCTTTGGAAAATAGCTTGACTCCCTCTTCTCTGTGGCTCGGTTTCTAATTGCTGCTGTTATTTTACACTTCTGTTGGAAGCTTGACAGATTTGTTGGAGATTTCTCAGTCCAAAGAGTTGACAGTTCCCTTTCAAATGTCAGCCCTCAAACTTAAATTAATATCTGCATGCTTCAAGATAGTTTTCAACTCTGGTGATGACAGACAATGCAACCCTAAACAGTATTGAGAATGAGGGGCTGCCCAGCTTTTTCAAAGCCCACCACTCAAGTGGAACAAAGCAGCAAGTCAATGGTCACTTTTTCCTCTCTTAATTATTTTCTCACTCCTTTCTCTCTGTCTCAATGAGAAGGAAAATAGGGATGCAAACTTGGTGAGGGACTATTCTAGCACTTCTTGAGGGAAAGGCCTTAGAATCAGCTGGTCCAAACTCATCTTCTGTCTGAGCTTGCAACATTTCACTTGGGGGCCCCAGCACAAATAAGACGTCCCTGTAGACCAGGGGTGTCAAACTTGCTATGTCACGTGACGTGTTGCAACGCTATCGTGACTTTTTTTCCATTGCCGGCAATGAGGTGGGTGCGGTTTCACCATGATGCATCCGGCCCGCCGGCCAGCAGTTTGACACCCCTGCTGTAGACAAATTACTCAACTGGTAGAGTGAGGCTTTGCTTCATTCTAGCCCAGGGGTAGGCAACCTTGGCTCTTTCATGACTCCATGCTGGCTCAGGAATTCTGGGAGTTGAAGTCCACGAGTCATAAAAGAGCCAAGGTTGCCTACCCCTGTTCTAGCCCCTTCCAGTCCCCAGACCTGAGGGTTGGAATTGTTTCTTGTTTTTAGTGATTTCAGAGAGTAGCCCTTTCTCCATTTACTACAATAAAAATGGGCAAATATTAAAGCGCTGCACATCCTTTAAAAGACCACATCAAAATGTCAAAGACAACATTCCCCACTCTAGAGTCAATCTCTTTCTATTCTTACACAAGAACAGATAGTCCTAGACTGTGACAAGTTGTAACGGCACTGAAAAAAAGTGACTTCTGACCGTTTTTCACACTTAGGACCAGTGCAGCATCCTCATGGTCATGTAATCAAAATTAAGATGCTGAGCAACTGACTCATATTTATGACGGCTGGAGTGTCCCGGGGTCATGGGATCACTTTTTGTGACTTTCTGACAAACAAATGAGGAAGCCAGGTTCATTTAACTGTGTTCCTAGCTCAACAACTGCACTGATTAACAACTGTGGCAAGAAAGGTCATAAATTGAGGCAAGACTCACTTAACAAATATCTCACTTAACAACATAAATTTGGGGCTCAGTTGTGACTTCTGAGGACTATCTGTAATTTCTCTCTAGTAAAAGAAACATACAGAAAGAGAAGCTGAATCTCCTTTCAAACATATATGTATAGGGCAGGGGTAGGCAACCTTGGCTCTTTTATGACTTGTGGACTTCAATTCCCAGAATTCCTGGCATTCTGGGAGTTGGAAGTCCACGAGTCATAAAAGAGCCAAGGTTGCCTACTCCTGGTATAGGGCCAGATGTCAGTATTCTCTTGTGCTGCAGACTCTGAAAGATGCATAAGAGTTCGTCAGTGACCACTCTGGTATTTGTGCATGCCCACAGTGGGCTTTGCTTAAGGCCACAATATTTATTATTAGAAATTAACCATTAATAATTTCTATAATCTTGTACGACCCAGACCATAATAAATGCAACAGAATTCCAAATTGCACAAAATGTTTATTTGCATTAATCTAGTAACATTTAACCTTCAGGAACTGGATTAAATTAGGGGGAGGACATGTTCAGTTGTTTTCAACCTTAACACTTTTCATCCTTAAAAGATGCAACAATATAAATACCACAAGCAGTTACCATGAAGGTAGCAGTGTTATTTAGAACTAGTTTTAATAAAAACAGAACTTTAAAAACATTTTAGTGGTTTTAACAGCACTCCACATGATTGAGAAAACTCACATAAAGTGAAAATATTTAGAATATTTAGATACATCAGTTAAGTAAATAAAAAAACAGAGCTGTGTCGTTCAGATATTCCAGAATGGACACAGTAAACGTTTTTGTACTTTTAATATTTTTTTTTCTAACATTCTACTCAGAAAGTTAAACAAGTTCTCCACCTCTTGGATTCCAATAGCTAGATGGGAATTTCTTGTAAGGCTCTTCCATTCGTTTGCAACCCCGTCTCTATAATGTTGACATGCTAAGAAAAAGAGTGAAACAACTACCATTTAGTCAGACATGTATAGACACCTTCATACTCTGAACACCTTTGGAAGTGAGTCTGATAAGATACGATTTTATAATCATTAGCTAATACTGCATTGAAACCAGATTTTTTTCTGGGCAGCCTCTCTGTCTAAACTAAAGCAAAGGCACCCAACTCTAGAAGCTAAATTACAACCAAGTGGCAAATGTTGAAGAGGTTACATACTCCTGGGCAGTGGGCGGTGGGCAACCCTGCCCCAACATTTTTATAGTTTTGTTCTGTTGTTTCACAGGTAAAATCTCCAGAGTAAAATCTGAAAAAGGCAACATGTTTCATTTTAGTTTTTTTTTAAACACTTACAAGAAAAAGAGCAAGTTACAAAAAGCATAAATTCAATCTTAATATAAGACATTCATAGTACAGTGGGACGTATACAGTAACTTGACACTGACCACCACAAACTCAAACCTTGTCATTTAATAAACACATCAGACAACCAAACTGCTGCCGTCCTTTATTATCCCAACTACTAAAAACAACATACGCTTGCAGTTTTGCAACTTTAAGTCCCAGACGGAGAAGATATCACAAGTCTTTTAAGCTTCCCTTCCATAAAGGCCATTTGGGTGTTACAGTGAACCACTCACTGTTAATATTCAAAAATTTATCAGCAACTCTTTAGTTTTCAGAAATGGCAAAAGTACTCTAGTAAGGTTACACCCAATGGGTGCAAATTGGCCCCAACTAGTAATCTTGAATACTGTAAGGACGTAGTCCTAAAATCACTAGGGAGTAAACCCCATTAATACCATAAGATTTACTTCTGAGTAAACAGGCATAAAGTTGCACTAGAACCTCTGTTTGAGCACCAAATGTCTTACGAATCTACAAAATTACTGATGCTTTAGAGTCATTCAAATGTTACAGCTGTTAACTGCTGGTCGCATTTCTAACTAAATTTCTATCACACAGATACCTACAAATTCTTCTAGAAATGGCACTGTATTAGGTAGCATTAGTTGTATTCTGAAATACACTCCACACTGGCAATTCAGTTTACCACAGCAGGTGGAAGATTTTCAGGTTAGTTTGGCAAAGCCAGTTTTAGAAATTATTATCAGTCACATTTTTTAAAATGAAAACCCTGGTAGAGAGATTATGTACCAATATGTGGAATGTAGCCAGGTTTGTTTTTGGTTTTTGCAAAAAAAAAAAAAAAAAAAAAGCAAGCTATTTCTTTAATTTTTTTTTTAAACATTTTATAAAAGTCACATTGGTTTATCAGGTTTGGGAGGGAAGAGCTAAACCATATAGGTGCATGATTTGTATTTTATGAAATTATTTGTGAAAAGTGATAGAAGCAATTTTAAAAATGTGGCTTCGCTATATCACATAAACTTCTATAATTCATAAGTTTACATCGTTTAAAGATGCAGAAATTAAAACTTATGACAGACATTAAAAAAGAATTTGTAAACATACCATCACCCATTTTTCACATCGTCGTAGCTTGTTAATGTGGAATGGATTTTTCATAATGCAGCATGTTGGTTTGAACCACAATCCCAACCTGGGCTTAAATGGATTTAAATGCCCCATCTAAAATTCACCGGTTAGATGTAGCCTCCACATCTTCACAGTGGACACAACATGAAAAGGATAGGCTTCTGTGCAGGCCACACTGAAATGAATAGGAGTGCCATATTCTTGCCCAAGTCTTATTTATTTCAACTGGGGCTCTCCTAGGACTGTACTTAAGAGAACAAGGTGCTCCAGCACTTGCTATGCGAACTGTAATTCTACAAAAGAGTTTTGTCACTTAAGTTCACAGTAAAGCTGAAAATGATCAGAGTCAGTGCATTATTTCCTCTACAATCCCCCTCCCCACATTTCCCAATAATTTCTTTTCCCCCAAGTAATACTGAGTCAAAGGCATATTGTTGCTGAAGATGTCTCTGTCTTCGTGTTTCATATCATAGCTGAAGGATGATATCTGCAGGACTTCTGTAAAGATACTTCCAAATAGCGTAATAATGAACTGCAGCTGCTGTGGCAACAAACAGATGCCAGATGGCATGGGCAAATGGAATTATTCCATCACTCTTGAAGAAGATCACTCCCATACAATAAATTACCCCTCCCCAGGCAAGTTCTTGAAGTCCATCAGTGTTGTTCTGTAGATGAACAGAAAAGGGAACAAGTTTCTCTTTAACACGAGTGTATGTAAGAGAACAGTCATTAACACTAAAGGAATACAGTACAATTTCTGTTCAGACTATACACAGACAAGGTAAAGGTAAAAAACTATTAACAGGTATTGACATAAACAATAGCTGCTGGCTTAAAACCAAAAGGCTCTAAAGTACAGCATCCTGGTTTCTGCAGTGACTAGCAATATATTCATTGCTTCAATGAAGGGAGGATTATTGTGACCTAGGCAAGTATTTACAATCCTCTCCAGTAGCTACTGGTTTTGCTATCCAAGTAAAATAAGGAGATATGGAAGAAGAGGAGAAGGGGGAGACAGATCTACGGGAAGAGATAAAACTATTCAGGCCTAATAATTCATTCCTATGCCTCTGCTTGTGGAAGTAGGTTGGACAGTCAGATGGAACAGCCACAGACCTTGATACTACTTCCAATGAACACCAGGTTGGTGTCTAATAAAAAATATTAATGTTCACGGCATTATAATAAATCGAAGAGTTAACTAAATGGGTAATAGCAACTTGTATAGGTTCACCTTTTGCCTAGTGCTTCACACAGAAGAGACTCAGACTTTGGGCTAGGGATAAGGTGCTGTCATACTCAACATCTTCAATTTCCACCACTCTTCTCCCTGGGATTTTTTTGACTGCCTTTGAGGATATATGCTGGCTACTTCATTACCTAGTGGAAACCTTGACTGAGCAGATACAGATAGTCTTAAATATAGAGGTGTGAAGGCTTCCAAATTTAACTTCCATGCTGAAGTCAAGGAAGTTCATGATTTCATGGATTATGTGCATTAGTTCGGATTCCCCTCAAAAGCCAATGGATCTGACTGAATTCTAGATGATTCTTGGGAGTGTCTTCTCTGACCAACTGCCTTCCAGTGGCTTGAGTGAGATGTGGAATAACTAAGGCTCGGTGCTCCCGTCCCTTAAGGAAAGCAGTGACAAAATCCTTGCCTAAGGAAGTATCTCTGAACCCAACCAATTCCTACTGCCTCTCTATACAGCCAAACTAATGACAAAAGCAGTAGCAGTGCAACCCCAAATGATTCTTACAAGTAATTATCTACATCCCTTTCATCTGGGTTCAGACACGATCTGGCACAAAAAAAGCCCTAGTCCCTCTTTTGGATAATCTATATTGGAGAGATGCTTGCTATATCTCTCCACAGGCTTTTTATATTACTGACCACCGTTTCCTTTTAGAGCATTAGGAAACGCTCTGTCGTCTGCCCATGCAGTGCTAGGAAATAGTTTCCAGGATGCTGGACTTTGATCCAGCAAAGGAATGCAATCCCTATTAATAGAATGCACCCAACACCAGTGGGTCGGCATTGTTTGTGTACATCCATTAAAATTATGACTTTTCCGTTAATTTAATATTACTAAAAAGTCTTCAGAAATTAGACAATGACCAGGCTATTATTCATTTGTTTATCTGATTTATATACTGCATTTTACACAGGAGCTCACAGAGACATAAAGAATGCTTCCTCCCCTATCCTTTTCCCTATAAAAAATATTAACACCCTTTCACTCACGACTTCTTAGCTTTTGTTTATATAGGGTATTTTCAGTTTTTGTGTTTTTTTAACAATAATAATGACAACTGATTTTGGCATTTATTATTTGCTTTAGCTTTGAAGCATGCCACCTAGAATCATTTGTTTTGTGAAATGGGCAACTATATAAACTGGACAAATAAATAAATAAGAACAACCCTGTGAGGAACTTTGGGTTGCGAGAGAGCGAGTGACTGGTTCAAAATCACCAGTGAGTTTCTGGCTGCCGGTGATCTAGAACTTCAGTCGCCCATCTCTTAGTACAACCCCTAACCACAACCCCACACTGAAGATCTTAAGATGTTGCCTTTTTTTTTTATGTTTGTGTTGTTCCAATACTAAAAAAGAAAGAAAAAGGGAGCAAAAAATAAAGTTAGCTTCTTAGTGCTCTTTTAAATGTGAAGTCTATCAGTGATTGCACAAGGTTTTTTTTTTTTAAATGCAACTGTTTAGTGAATATGCATTCCTTACCATGGAAGTTACAACCAGAGCAGGAGAAAATCCCATTGCTAAATAGAAGAAGAGCTCCACAATTTTATACCTATGTACGAAAACAAAAGGCACATTAGCCTGCAATTATGAAAACTGTGCTTTCTTGCTTCAGAAACACAATGTATTTTTTGCTTCAGTGTTGGCTATAAATTCCTGTTGCTTGTGGACAGAAGATGGAAGTAAACTTCAGCAAATATTTAATGGTAGATTTGTTAATTATATGTGAAGCAGCTCACAAAATGGGAAGAGTTTCTTGTTTGTTTAGTTTCCATGATTGGTAGAGAAATAAACAGCATCTGTAAGTATGTGAGTGTGTATCACTCTCTTGCCTTCTCTCCCCAGAATTCGGAAGGGGCGTTGTCTTACCTGAACGCCTTTTCTCAGCATGAGGAATGTAGACTCCACGCATGGGGTTGATTTAGTCTTCTAGCCCAATCAGACCAAACAATCAAAGTTGCCACGCCTCTGCAGGGTCTGACCATGCCCCAGTTTTCGAAAGGGCAAAGCGAATGATTGTGTGACGAGATGGCTCCGAACTGCTGACACTAACCTAGCTGCTAGTAATAATCAGGGAGGGGGTGGAGTCTACATTCCTCATGCTGAGAAAAGGCGTTCTGGTAAGACAACGCCCCTTCTCCAGCATGTAGAGGAATGTAGACTCCACGCATGGGACATACCAAAGCCCCTATGATCCCACGGGTGGGAAGCAGGTTGGTTAAGTGTCGTTGCTGAAATGGACCACTTGTTGTAAAACCCGACGGCCAAACGCAGCTTCCGCGGAAGCAAACTTGTCGAGTTTGTAGTGGTGAATGAATGGTGAAGGGGACGACCACGTAGCCCTCTTACAGATCTCCTCTATGGACGCCTGAGTCTGCCACGCCGCCGATGTGGAAGCGCTACGAGTAGAGTGTGCTGTCAGGCGGCTTGGGACAGGTAAAGAGGAAGCCTGGTAAGATTGAGCGATACAGGCCTTGATCCACCTGGCTATAGTAGAGGAGGAAACCTTCTGTCCCTTGGAAGGTGATAACCTCAGCACCACTCTGTCCTGATAGAAGGTACACAGGTCTTCCCTAACTGAAAGAGCAGCCAGCTCTGACACGCGTCTCGCCGACGTGATGGCTACTAGGAAAGCCACCTTGTGGGACAAAATGTGAAGAGGACAAGACCTTACAGGTTCAAAGGGAGACCTAGTGAGTGCCTGCAGAACACGAGGTAGTTCCCAAGATGGATACCTGTATACTACCGGAGGTCTGGTGTTGGAGACTCCTTTCATAAAGGATCAGACCCTGGGATGATGGGACAATGGAGTGGCGTTGGCACAGGTGAACACCGTGGAAAGAGCGGCCACCTGTCTACGCAAGGTGTTGGGCGCTAAGCCTTTATCCACTCCATCCATGAGGTATTCAAGAATCACTGGAATAGTGACAGAAGAGATAGACAAACCCTTACAGGTACACCAGTCACAGAAATTCTTCCAAGTGGCATCATAGATTCGGTTCGTTGCCGGCCGTCTGGAAGCTTGGATCATAGCTATCACCCTTGAAGAGTAAGATCCGCACATCAGGAACTGGCGCTCAGATGCCAGACGGCTAGTTGTAGCCACTGTGGGTTCGGATGGCATATGGCCCCGTGTTAGAATTATCCTCTCTGGAGGGATTTGCCAAGGGGGGGCTATGGCGAGGTTCACGAGATCCGCGAACCATGGATGCCTCAGCCAATACGGGGCCACAAGGATTAGCTCCACCTGTTCCTGTAACAGCTTCCTGATGACAGCCGGGATCAAGGGAAGGGGTGGAAATGCATATAGAAGGCCCGCCGGCCAAGGGCTGCGGAGGGCATCTGCTCCTTCCGAACCCTGGGATGGGTACCGAGATAGAAACCGGGGAAGCTGGGTGTTCTTCGGGGATGCAAACAGGTCGACTTTGGGCCGACCGAAACGGTGAGTTATCTCCCGAAAGAGATGGGGATGTAGACGCCACTCTGAATGATCTATCGTAGATCGACTCAGAAAATCTGCCTGGTCGTTTTCCACCCCTGAAATGTGTTCTGCCTTTAGGGACAACAGATTCTGTTCCGCCCATGACCCCAGACACTGGGCCTCGGACATTAGAATCCGTGATTGAGTGCCGCCCTGCCTGTTGACATGGGCCTTTGCCGCCACGTTGTCTGTCAGAACCAGCACATGGTGGCCCGCCAACTTCTTGTGGAAATGGCGAAGTGCTAGGTGTATGGCTCTGGGCTCTAACCAATTGATATTTTTCTTGAGATCCCGTTGAGACCACTGTCCCTGGGCGAATTGAGATTGCAGATGTGCCCCCCATCCAAACAGACTGGCGTCTGTGGTCAAGGTTACCCGAGTCGGTTCTCTGAACAGGGATCCTTTGGACAGTGCTGGGGACAACCACCAGATGAGGGACGTGAGTGTCTGTGGTGGGACTCGCACCCTCTGTGGAAAACATGCTACACCCCGTTTCTGGTAAGGGAGTAGAAACCACTGTAGTTGTCTCGTATGAAGCCTGGCCCAAGGCACTATGGCAATACATGAGATCAGTTTCCCTAACAGCTGTGACAGCAGGAGCAGGGTTACACGTTTCTCCTTGCGCACCCTGGTGACCATCGTACGTATGCTGAGCTGACGCTCCTGAGACAGGAAAACTCGGCACTGGCTGGTGTCTATTATTGCACCTAGGTGGAGCAAACGGTTTGTTGGGATCAGATGGCTCTTTGGGAAGTTGATCATACATCCATGATCCTGGAGTGTCTTGATCGTCAGTGCCACGTCTGAATGGGCGTTCAGTGCCGAGGACGACTGGATTAGGATATCGTCCAAGTAGCACTGAACGCGGACTGGTACCAACCTGAGCTGTGCGGCGAGAACCGCCAGGATTTTGGTGAAAACCCTTGGAGCTGATGATAGGCCGAATGGCAGGGCCCTGTACTGATAGTGATGGTTGGAATACCTGAATCTGAGGAAACGCCTGTGATTTGGATGTATGGGAACGTGCAGGTAAGCTTCTGTCAGATCTATGGATGTAAGAAAATCCCCTGGCCGAATACTGCCCAGAATAGAATGAAGAGTTTGCATCTTGAATTTTTGGTAAATTAGGTACCGATTTAGAGCCTTGAGGTCTAGGATCGCCCTCCATCCTCCTGAGGGTTTTGGTACCACGAACAGGATGGAGTAGAAACCCAGTCCCCATTGATCTGGGGGTACCCGCTCTATTGCCTCTATGCTTAACAGATGACAAATGGCCTCCTCCATGAGACCTTGTTTCACGGGATTTCTGGATAGGGGGCAGGAGATGAAGCGCCAAGGTGAGAGTGTGAGGAACTCCAGAGACAGTCCGTCTCTGATAGTGGTTAGAACCCAATTGTCCGTGGTGGTACTTTTCCATTTGTGGAAATATAGTGCCAGTCTTCCGCCAATGGGAGGAATCCGCCTCAAGTCACTTTGACTTTGGGAAAGGATGACCTCCTTTGCCGCGAAGGGGCCTCTTAGACTGGAATTGTGGCTTTGGCTTGTCTCTGTAGCCGGACCGGTCCGATGAGCGGTCCGGCCCTGCTTGAAAGGGCCGATACCCGCTCCATGTAGTTCGGTCTGAGCCAGACTTGAACGACGGACGCCAGTTGTATGGAGAAAAACGTCTGCCCGTTTTTTTGACAACATGAGCTAGTACTTTCAACTTTTCTTTGTTTTCAGTCAGGTAAGGAGTGAGAGCCTCTCCAAAAAGGCGACCCTTATGATATGGTGCCGCAGCTACTCTCCATTTGTGCCTGGTATCGGCCTTCCAATTTTTTAGCCAGAATAACCGGCGTGCGGCCACGTTGGAAGCTATGGCCCGAGCCGAATATTTGGCCGACTGCAGAGACACATCCGCCATGTATTCCAGTGCGGCCCTTAGTTTAGTGACATCCTGGTGAACCCTTACCTCGTCTGGGGATAATCTGGCCTGTAATTCCCTGAGCCAGATTAATGCAATTCTAGCGAAAAAAGAGTTAGATGTTGAGGCTCTTATAGCCCAAGCTGATGCCTGATGGGTCCTTTTGAGGGAAATCTCAGACTTCTTGTCCTCAGCCTTAAGGGCCTCCGACATATCTCCTGGGATTTTGGTGTCTGACAGTATGGGGGCGAGAGCCTCGTCTACACTCGGAACTTCGAGGACATCGTTGAGGGAAGGGACCGTATCTAAGAGCTTACGATCTAATCCCCCAAGAGCAGAGAAACTTCCAGGAGATCCCCACTGATCCTGAATGGATTTGAGAAACATAGGGGGGCAAGGTATCTGTAGGTTCTTCTTGACCGGTTCCAGAAACAGTGGGTCAGAACTCTGTCCAGAGTCCTGATCGGTCGTCTGTGGTTTCACGGGTTCAATTTTTCTGGTGACATAGGCCTTTTGTAAAAGAGGATAGAAGGAATTTGGATTAAACACCCCTACCATAGGAGTGGCCTCCGCCTGAATGTCTTCCCCGTCTGACCACATGCCTTCTTCCGGAATCTGAGCAGAAAAATCTGATATCTCGCTCCCTTCAGATTGAGGTGGAGAACCGTGATCTGAAATCACATACTCCCTGGGATGCCTAGTTTCCGTGGGCGTAGGGGGGGGGGTTGACGGTCCTTGGACCGGAATGGCCCTCCCTGAAGCCGCCATTGCCTGAACCACTGCCTGTGAGATCATGGCTTGGAGCTGGACAGTAAATGAAGGATGTTCGGGGCCCCGAAGACCCGCCGCCATCGGCGTGAAAGATGCTGAAGGGATTGGGGGAGGGACGACTGTAGTAACCTCCCCCTGAGACCCACAAGACACTGAGGAAGGTCCTGGCTCAGCAGCTGGAATTGAATCTTGGACCTGTAATCTCAATTCTCGGTCAAAGAGGGACAGATGGTCCCGTTCATATCCCAGCAAGGGACCCTGGTCCAGGGTCTGCTCGGGAGACCAAGCCTGTGTAAGAGGGGAAGGTCGATGCTCCCCTGATATGGATGCAAGAGGAGGTGAGGGGATAAGCTGCGTCTCTCCTGTCTGCCGCTGGGCTTTGGAGAATTGTCGCTCCAGCACCCCATGTCTGCTATCTGCTTGCTTGTCATCGGCCTTAGAGGTCCGTTTGACCTTGGCCTTGGCTTTTGCAGGTGTATCCAGACTGGATGGCTTGCGTTTTATATTTCCACTGGAGGTGGAAGCCTGTGAAACGGTGTTATCCGCCATATTGAAATAAACAATAGGAAATAAACAACAGGTGTTCACCAGGAGATCCCTGGATCTGGCCTGTACTGCAGTAGAAGAAAAGACAGGTTGTCACCAGGAGATCCCTGGATCAGTCCTGTTCTGCAGGAGAAGAAAGGGCAGGTTTTCACCAGGAGATCCCTGGATCGGCCCTTGGTCTGCAGGAGAAAGGAAGGCCATGACCCACCTGGGTGGTACAGGCCTGCACGAGGGTCTGTGAGGTCCGGCCCACCGTTAAGCACGGAGTCACTACGCGATATAAGCCACGCTACGCTCAGGGGCTGTCCTCCCCATTCAAATTTTCAGGCCCACTGTAATAGAGACAATTTGGCCAAAAAGGTATCAAATTAAAGATAAGTCTATATATGAATATAGTATATATCTTGTTTAATTTAATTCTGTTTTATTTTAATTGATTTTTTTTTGGACCCTCGTGTCTCACTTAGTGACGGCTAGGACAGTAAGTGCCGACCACTATGCAGACAGCGGAAAACAGGCAAGGCAAGCAGCCATCCAATCTGTTGGCACTGGATATTTAAAAGGTACTGGTAAGTCACAGTCTGGAATATTACCAGATAAAATGGAGTGAGAGACTCAAGGTATTTTCCCTATGTCCACTAGGCAACCTGAGATGGTGCCTATTAAGCAGCTGAATGAAGATCTAAAGGAATGTAATTAGAACTCCTATTCCCCCCCCCCACTTAGGGAGAATCACCAAATAAGTAAGTTACTTCGTGACTGAAAAGGCTGTAATTAGGACAAAGCAGTCAATTTAATGTGTGTGATCGGGCAGAGCCCAAAATGGAGGCCGGGACAATCTGATGAGAGATGAAACAAGCTGAGAGAAAAAATCCTCTCCTGCAAGTAATCTGGTAATCAGCTCTTTTAGTCAAACAGTTCACCTGCTGTTTTTTTTTTTTTTTTGGTAATTTACAGCTGACAATCAACAGTAACAAGGAAGTACTTGAGTAGTGTGAGGATCGAGCCTTCTAGAGGCTCAAAATGGCGCCCGCAGGTTGTTTGAATTGGTAACTAACCTAAGAAGGTGATTTCAGTTTTCAGCTGAAAATTAGTAGTTTAGCTTTGCATTCACAGCGAAGATCTTGGGAGGGGGTGGGGAGGTGGATTGTAATGAGGAGGCAGCAATCTACGATCAGCTGTCTGCCTCTGAAAACTCACGGAGAAGGGATTGATTAAGAGAGAAGAAATGGTGCAGCACTGAGCTCAGAGCTGAACCAATCCCCCCCCCCCAAGAAGGAAAAAAAGGATAGAGAAACCACGAATGGCAATAACTACCTTTCTGAATCTAAATTAGGAGCCAAATTCTTATGTGTCTTGAGGGCTGAGACCAAACAAAAACTGGGGCATGGTCAGACCCTGCAGAGGCGTGGCAACTTTGATTGTTTGGTCTGATTGGGCTAGAAGACTAAATCAACCCCATGCGTGGAGTCTACATTCCTCTACATGCTGGAGAATGAATACTTTTCCTTACTCTGGGGGATGAGTTCCTAAGTAAGGGACAGAAAAAGATGCACCCCACCCCAAGCACTTGTGAAAAAGTATCTTGTGCAACCCAGCATAACAAACTTCAGCAAAAACACACCCTTGCTAGTGGCTCAAGATCTGCACAAGACTTCATGTAGTATGTGGAAGGTCAAGCGGTGTTGGGCCAGAGCTAAAATAGTTTTGATTTGTGGTGGATTTAGAGTTTCTAAAAAATGAAACGTGTCCTCAAACGTCGTAAGAATAAAGGCACTGATATTTTCTTTTAAAATTTGCCCCAATCCATCCCCAAATTGAAGAAAACAAAAGCTAAACCCTGATTATTTTTGGCCTTAACATGCTCAAAAGAAATGCTGAGGCCCACAGACTGTAAGTCTGGCACCCGTGCTCTACAGCAATCTTTTAAAGCAGGGGTCTCCAAACTTGCCAACTTTAAGACTTGTGGACTCCAACTCAACTCCCGGGGCTTATGTAGTGAAGGAACTGGATGAGGCTGTCGGCAGGCCCAGAGGAAGAGAGAGAGACTTTTGGAGAAGTTGGTGACGGTGGCAGTGTGATCCAGGGGCGAAAAGAAGCAAGGCCTCTTTAAGGAAAAGGTGGAAGAGACAGGATCAGAAAAAGGAAAGGAGGCAAGGTTGTCGTGCAGGAATACAAGCTAATTTGAGGGCTAATCCACTTGGAGCTCTCCAGTTTCCATCTGTCCTGTTTGCCATCATTTGCTCCCTAGAGATTAAAATGGACAATCTGAAACTTCAGCTGGAAGCCATGAACAAGGGGTGTATATCGGAGGTGGTGGTCCTTTGAGAGCTGTATGCAATGAAATTTCATTTTGGTGTATGCCGATTGGTGTACATTCAAAGTAACAATAAAGTTGTTGTTGTTAAACTTCCAGAATTCCTCAGCCAGCCCTGGGAGCTGAAGTCCACAAGTCTTAAAAGTTGCCAAATTTGGAGACCCCTGTTTTAAACCAACTGTGATTCGCTTGTGTTGGGTAACACTTTTCGTATCTCCACAAAGCATGTGAAAAGATACTTCAAACAACACATGTGAAGGCAACACATTGGGCTAAGCTCCTTTAAAAGATCAGTCATACTTACTAGCATAACAGTAAGCATAATGAAAACTTTCAGAGCCTAGTTTAATTTTTTTACTTCAACTCTCCAAGCCAGAAACAAAAGATGTGAATTTAGAATTAAGAGAGTTCCACTGAGAATATTCAGAGCCTAGTAATTTTCTGCACCTGAATGAACTCAGTTAGCCATAAATCCTGATCTACCTTCTGTCTATTGCTGTATTAGAAAATATATTCTCTAGAATTTTAATATTAAGAGTACAGTCTGGGTGTATAGAGTGGAATAAAAAATGGCTTGCAGCCACATTTTCTTTTTTCCCCGTATGAATCCAAGCTGTTCTCATCAAGCAGAATATTAAGTGCTGCTTTAATTATTTATCAAAAAGGAATCTTAAAAGCGAGAGAAGTGATTTTTTAATAGGCTGATAATGTCCTCATAATGTCCTACAAGAGAGAAGAAAATTAATAATACAGAATGCAATTTTAGCAGAATAAAAGAGTGTGATTAAATGAAAATGGTCTGTTTTATCCTGAAAATGCAGTTGACTGGCACTCTGTTCCAATGGTTTTTTTAGCATAAAAATACCACATATAAACACTTATCAAAGAGATGTATCACTAAATTGAGAGAGAGAGAGAGAGAGAGAGAGAGAGAGATCACGTCAAGACAAAATCATGATAATTCTTACTTTTCATGGTAGAGAAATACATAAAAAGCTCCTCCAGCAGCCATTAGCCAGATAAACCAACGCATATGAGATGCCAGAGGTCCAAGTTCACGAAGATTTAACCTGAAAAAATATATTTAAATGACTTTCTGAACTAATAAAAGAATGGTATATTAAAGACAAAATATTTTTCCCCAGATGTTAAAAAAAATAAAAATCCAATCAGGAGTTCTCAAAGGCAGGAAGGAGAAAAACACATCCTTTTTGTAATTAATATGGTTTTAGTTTAAAAAAAAAACAAGAAAAAAGTTAAAATGTAGCAGTGCAAATGCATAATGTTTAAGCTTATTTAGAACATTCATATTACTGACAATGAACTGAAAAACTTAAGTTTTGATAGAAAAGTACAGGTAGTCCTCGACTTATAACAGTTCATTTTATGACCATTCAAAGTTACAACAGCACTGAAAAATGCTCAACACTTATGGCGATTGCAGCATCCCCTTGGTCACATGATTAAAATTGGGATGCTTAGCGACTGGTTCATATTTATGACAGTTGCTGTGTCTGGGGGGGGGGTCACAAGATCAGCTTTTGCGACCTTCCGACAAGCAAAGTCAATGGTGAAAAGTCAGTTTCACTTAAGAACCATGTTACTAATTTATCAACTGCAGTGATTCACTTAACCATTGTAGCAGGAAAGGTCGTAAAATGGGGCAAAACTTACTTAACAAATATCTTGCTTAGCAATATAAATTTTGGGCTCAATTGTGATTGTAAATTGAGGACTACCTGTACATTTTAATTTATTAATCCTTATTACACTGGAACATAAAATTACCTTACAGTTTCACAAAAATGTATACTGTAGCTTCTTATAACAATATAATCCGATTACAATTATTTCAGTTTTCTGAAAAGAATACAGTGTTAAGTGCAGCATCACAGAATGTTGTTGCCTCACATTTAGAGCTGCAGTACATTATTTGGGGGATGGTCCTCAATAAGTACAAATCCGATTCTGTATTAATCTTGTGGGATCAGGTCAACTAAGTTGAAAATACAAAGACAAAAAACCCCAACAATTCCCCCTCCCACATGCAACTTAATTTATGAGATGGAAAGCAAATTTTACTTTTATTGTTTCTAGCCTCATCAGATTAGGAGCAATTATTTAACTAATCCTTCAAATGGAAGGTATGACGTTACATTTGTTTTCTACCCAAGAGCATATATTTTAATCCTTACCAAGGTGCATATGATGCTGCAATGAAGATATAGATCATCATTCGGTCACACATATGAAAACAGTGCTCCATTGTCCTAAATTCCAAACAGGGAAAAAATCAGAAAAAAGTGCCATAAAATTATTACCTTGGAATTCCACCCAAGAAGAACTAAGCAGACAGAGAAGACTAAAGTAGTCAAATAGAAAGATCAGTTACAATTTGCTTGTTTTCTACAGCCTTTCGGGGAAAAAAATCTGCAATCAAACAAGTATCCAAATTTGTTTTTCTGATCTTTCTTTCCAAAATCATATTTTTATTGCATTTTAGAAATGTAAAACTGAGCAATATTAGAGTCTTCGGTTCAAAGATTTTATTCATCTGTCCTATGAGGCTTTGTTTTTTGTTTAGTAAATATTTCAGGAAAAATATTATACAACAGAAAGTTCCAAGTCATTTTGCTGCTTAAATTCTGGAGAAAAGAATTGTTGAATTTACTTTGCAATTCAGCTTAGGACTTTGGTACCTGGAGAAGGCAAAAAGGGGTGTGTTTTTCATAGATATATATTTGAGGCAGACCAGACCAGCCTTTCACTGCAGTTTACTTATATGATTATGTATTAACATTGTTTAAACTGATGCTATTAAAAGACTTCATTTATCATACTTGTTTGACAATTAAAGCTAAGTGCCAAAATGGTTCTTGTGTGTAATGAAATCTTCAGTCACTTGCAAATTGGCTTAATATTGGCAGCAAGAATGCCTTTAATTTTAGGAATTTTTCTTCCCTTCTACTCCCTCTCCCACCCCACTTACTAAAATTGCTGGAAGGAAGCAACAAGACTTCCTCCTTCCTCATTGTGACCTTTCAACAATGTTTGGCACCAGGAAGCCATTTACATTTTCTCTTTGCTTCCTGACAGCTTGCCGATCTGCTGAGGAGGAGGCTGCTGGAGAGAGAGAGTCTGATATCCTATTTGGGGAGCTTCCATCGCACATCAAGTCTTCCCAGCAGTTGAGGGATGAGCACGTTCCCTGAAGCACATGCAGCCAATTCCCATTCTGGTATATCATTTAGGCTAAAGAGTGACATGTTACTTGTTCCGTGACATTTCCATCTTTTTATTGCACGTTTAATTGATCGAAAATAAGGTGTGTGGTCATCAAAGCATTTTTAAAAATATAGCCTGAAATTCGAAATGGATACCTTACATTAGAGCCATCGTTAAAAAGGCACAACAAAGAATATTCTTCCTGCTTCAATCTGGAAAATTCAGATTGCCCCAGAGGAATTATTGAGCCTGTCGATTATACTTCTATAACTGACTGCTTTGGTACAACAACCAAACAGGACAGGTACAGACTCCCAACCATAGTTAGAACTGCAGAAAGAACTGCAACCAGCCTGCCTTCCATACAGGACCTGTATATTGCATGGGTCAGAAGGAGGGCTGACTACAGACGCCTCACATCCTGGACATAAACTGTCTCAACTCCTCCTCTCGGGACACCACTTACAAGGCACTGCAGGCCAAAACAACTAGATGCAGTTTTTTTCCCTTATGCCATCACTTTATTGAACGTCTAATTCCCACAATACTGTCCTATACCTAAGTATATTTACCCATGTGCTATGGCTGTAGTATTATTATTCTTTCTCATCTTCTCTATTACCCCGCTATTGGTATCATTATTATGATTATTACTATTCTGTTGCTTTGCATGTACACTGAGAACTTCTGCACTGGCGACAAATTCCTTGTGGTCTCTAATCACACTTGATTCTGAATGTTTGGGTGCTTTAAAAGTAAGTTAATTGAAGTGAGTTTTTTGACCAGGCTGATGATTTGTTATTTTACTCCCCTAATTAATGTTTATGCTTTAAGATACCTTTAGATTTTCTGTCTTTTTTTTTTAAAAAAAATAGTGTTTGATCAGACCCCATGTGTGTCCAAATGAATAAATCCTAGAACTATTCTGTAGAAAAAGCTAGAAGTAGATAAAGATAGGGCAATGCTTTAGTATTTTAGAAATCAGTAAGCATTCAATAAAAAGACAGGAAGACGACCTGTGTAGGACACAATATGAGACTAAAGTTAGGTTAGCATTAGTAATGACAATGCAAATAGGCTAGTTTATGGATGCACAGATAGATAACTTGCCGGTACTGTACATAATTAATTGAGATGGAATTAAGTTGTACCTATTCCAAAATGTGGTAATTCTGAGAATTTTTCCTTATAAATCTGCTGGGATTTAGAAGTTTATCTTTGGAAGAACAGCACTGGAATTGTTTTAATTATGAATGTGTTGGATGTCTCTGTTTTTAAAATAATATTTAAATATAGGCATCTTAAACTGCAATGGAGCACTGTGGGCAGACTGGTATAAGTTAGTCCTTGACTTATGACTACAGTTGGGACCGGAATTTCTGTTGTAAGTTGTTGCAATTGTAAATCAAGTTGGATTTAATTTTATGACAATTTTTACAGCAGTCATTAAGCAAATTACTGAGGCTATTAAGAGAGCCACATGGTCATTAAGCGAATTCAGCTTACTGGCATAAAAGTTTGCAAATTGCTGTTGTGTAATGCTGCAACCAGTCATAAATGCAAACTGGTTGCCAAGTGCCCAATTAAGATCACATGATAGCAAGGATGTGATGATCGCATGGTTTGACATCATAGGTGCGAGTAAGTCACTTTTTCCAATACTGTCATAACTGAACTGGCATTAAATGAATGGTCCTAAATCACGGATTACCTGTATTGTTGACCCAAAATTGTTGTGAATGTAAAAACCATTTTTAATATGTCAAACAGGGACTAAAAAAATGGAATAGGTTCTTCTAGACTGTGTGAAGAAACTGAGGAAGAATATAAGCTAACTGGATCTTGAGAAAGTTTTCTTCCCAAAATTAGAAAAGGGGATGCAAATGTTGAGGGTAAGATTTGGTTTTCTTACATAAGCAACTGTTGCAAAAGAACATAATTCTAGGGAAGTTAAGCCTTTATGTTGTAGTTTCTTCATCCTGAAGTTCCATGTTTGCTAATGAATTTGGAGGTACTAACTAAAAAAATGTCTCTAGATTATTTGATTGCAAAAATGTAGCAAGTGAATACTTTAAAGCGTTTACATTCCTTGCAAAGAGTGGGACTAAGTCCTACGATCAGTGCTAATGAAGTCAACATTTGCTCTTGGTAGCTTAATTTTCACGACATTTTGTTGTCTAGATCAAGGCTTTTCAACCAGTGGTACAGGTACCACCTGTGGTACATTGGCTCCTGGCAGGTGGTACGCGACCATCCTAGAAAAATGGTAGCTGGGGAGGGGAATGAGCTGAACTGGTGGCAGCACCACACAAGCCTGAGCGAGAGATGGCTGGAGCTGCAGGGCTGTCAGGGCTCAGCGGAAGCGCCAGAATCAGCGCTTCTTTGGGGCTGTCAGGGCTCAGTGGAAGCGCCAGGATCAGCGCCAGGCTCCAGCTGGAGCTCGGTACTGATTCTGGCGCTTCTGCTGAGCCCAGAAGAAGCACCAATCAACTGGAATGTTGCAGCATTTCCAAGGTCTTGTGATTTACATTCAGATGCTTGGCAAATGATTCATATTTATGACGGTCACAGTGTCCCAGGGTCATGTGAAGTGACCAAAACCTGCTGCAACCATCCAGCAGACAGAGGGAATAAAAACCAAACACACCCCCCCCCACCCCCACTGCCAATCCTCAACAGAAATGCTCACAACAATGAAAACCTTGAATAGGAGGAAGAGCGCCGCCGGGTGGGCAGGCAGGTGTCTTGCTCGGCATTTTTTTCAGTGCCATTGTAACTTCGAACAGTCACTAAGCGAACTGTTGTAAGTCGAGGACTACCAGTACTGCATCACTTTTTTCCTTTTTTTGGTCATCAAGTTTTTGACACCTTGCTAAGTGACTGTGGTACTTGGATATTGCCATATCCTAAAAGTGGTACAATGGGTAAAAAGGTTGAAAAGCCCTGGTCTAGATATCAGGGAATATTTAAAACTCCAAAGGATAAATTATACCAAAAAGAACCATGGTAACAAATCTATTTTGCTCCGAAACGTAACAACATAAAAGATTTACTTAAAAGCACTCTTAGAAACAGATTACAGTATGTAGGAAGAAAGTGCCACAAATCTATACCTTAGATGACTCTTCTTCCAAGAAATTATATGAAACACTGTTGAAACGATGAAAAGTGCACATAGACCAACTCCATATATCCATGCTGTTATCTTTTCCCACTGATCCTCAGAGAGTCGATGAAGGAGGGCACTACCAATAATGGCTGGGAAAATAAGAAACTAGGCCAAAAAAAACCAAAAAAAAAACCACAATGTGTTACTTGCTGTGTCCCTCCTCTGTATTTTACACCACTTATAATTTTGCCCTCTTCACCTTATATTACTATGCCAATACTTCAATAAGGCATTTGGCACACGAACAAAGCAGCCCTACTTAAAACAATGAATGGTCTGAAACCTTCTCAAGATCTCCTGGGCACACATAGGAGGCTGGCCCAGAAGACATTTTATCTAGGATAGCTGTCAAAGCCCTGATAGTCACATTTTTTTCTCTGGCCTTTGATTCAAATGAAGTGAAAATAAATGGGGTTTTTAAAGCAAAATTAGATTATCCTAGTATACAACAAATAAATATATTTTTAATCTCCATTTTTATCATGGAAAGGAGGAACAATTTTCCTAATTTCCTCCAGCATTTAATCTCAAAATCTCTCAGTTATCTTGAATAGCAATTGCTGTTATTGTATAAAATTGCTGTGTCACAAAGACATACCACATGTCAAGGGACAAAGTAGCACCAAGCTGTCAGGCAACATGTTGTGTTTGAGATCAGAATAAGCTGAAATTAAATTCACTGTGCAAGTGAAAAAAACCACCCAGAATATTTACAAAATATCTAATGTGTTTGCTTTAGATACAGAGATTCATGATTACTGTCTTTAAAATTGCTAGATCTTAAATGCTGGTTCAGTAAAAACTATAAACTACCCATTATAAACCATACTTTAGGCTTAGAACAAGTTGTGAACCAGGCAACTATATCTTGCTCAAAAACAGGGCTAAAACAATCAAATTTTCCATTAACGTACAGTATTTGTTGTAAGTGCTTAATTGTCTTTAAAATATAAATATGTCTAAAATATTTTCATAGCCTGCTTAAAATGCACTTGTTTCTATGATGACAAGCCTAGACATTTTATTCACTTATATGTATTAAATACTATATGAAAATGTTTGTGTAGTCCAAGATGCATGACATAAGCAAATACTTTCTAATCTATACAGTATTGGCTAGTACCAACCAATACATACAGTATATAAACAATCAATTTATTTTCAGATGCCTCCTTAATTCCAGTTTACAAGCACACTTTTATATGAAACCACTGCCCTTGTAACCAAAAATTAAAAATCATACCCAATTCTCTTAACAGTTAAAAAAATACCATACGTATCATGTTATTTAAAAGATTTCTCAACTAGACCTTTACAACTATGTTAACTATTACACTAACTATCTAATCTACAACTGCTGGTCAACCTAATATAAAAGGAAAATTTGAAATAAGAGGAAGATATACAGAAATAACTGAAGAACGATTTAGCTGTCACAGACCAAATAAGAGTCAGGCTGCTTGTTGATCAGCATTTTAATAAATAATAAATTATCAATTCAGCTCCAAGAACTAATAATAATGTATTTATCTTTGTGCCTTGCCACTAACTGTGCCCAAGCAATTTAATGTAATAAAACTAAATCTTGGGAGATTGTGTATGGAAGCCTAAAAAGAATTAGTGCATTCTGCCTTTCAAATGCTTTGAAATGAATACAATACTTTGAAATGAATTTGACTCTTGATGAGTAGATATGAACATCCAGTTTTCCTGACAATAACATGCAAGTGGTTTGCTACTGCCTTCTTAAGATGTTTTGCCCCCACAGATAAGCTGACATTCAAAATATTTTGATGTACTGATTTTCACAATTGACTTATCTGCAGATGGTGCATTTTCCCATTGTAGCTTGGTTAAAAAATTGAGGGTCTGCTTAATTCATGGACGGGGTATGCACTAGTATATACGCAGATAGGAATCAGAATTATTTGGACTATCGTATGAATTGATTTCCAGGAAATCTACATACCGCATGAGTGTAACAGTTAGCAGCATGCTCATAGCAAGTAGGTTTATAACGACTGTTTGCTGGAGCTGGATGATTCATGAATCTGTTGAGATAATCAAGATATTAGGCTAAGGCAGATTAATATTGCAAGATTGTAAAGGAATGCATTTATTTATTGAGTTAAAATAATTCATATTTTAATGTGTTTGATACTGGATGTTAAATAAATACATTTACAATGACAATTTGGAATTTCATTAAAAGTGCTTTTCTCCACACTTTTAAATCTCACTTGGCACAACAAAGCACTTAGAATTTAAAAGTAACATAGAACAACTATAAATGCATCAATGCATAGTACATCCATTTTACTGCAACATTATTTTTGGGAAAGAAACCCGTGGCAATAGGCATCTACACCCTGAAACAAAGCTATTAAGAGGTTGGGTAATAGAGGCAAGATTTGGAAACATTATTCTACCTTATTTCTCTTTCATAGTAGAAAAGACAGCAATATTTTTTGAAATTATGATAAATAAACCTAAGCAACTTCTTTTAGGATTCTATTTCCTAGATTCTGCTTTTTTTTAAAAAAAATCAACAAATCTCCATAATTTAAAAACTCATCTCTAAATCTTCCAATTCAAGAAATCTACATCAGGGTTTTATATATTCATTCAGCAAGTGGAATAAACTGTGCTTATCAGTGTTTTCTTCCAATTAACTTATTCAGAGTTTCACCTAGAGAATATCCTGTAAAAAAGAACCAAAACATTTGCCAAAAAGTTATGACATATAGCTCCAAATCTTAATAAAAAGAGAGCATGTTGATGCTGTTATACTTATCACTAACCCTGAATGTGCACAGCAATTTTCATTCCAATAACTAAAGCTCCAAAACATATATCCCTGTAAGACTATAAAATGTTTCCTGACTCCTTTTCAAAATCACATGCAATTAAGTTGTGCTTTGTACTAAGAGAAACAAATCACAACTTTCATTCTGTTTCAATCTTCATAAACTTCCAATAAAGTATTACAGTAGTCAAATTTGTTTGGAACATGAAATAAAAAAATACAGATTCTGAATGTATAAATCAGTCTTTTAAATTTCAGCTGAATTATTATCTGAGTGTCCAGCAGACTAGTTCAACTGCAAAAAAACTCATTATCTTGTCCATCTACTCTCCTTACCTCCTAAGTTGCTATATTCCCCAAAGAAATGTTTCCCCAAATCATATCACTGAAATATAGCTATTTAGTACTAAATCAGCAATACACTCTAAGGGTGCTAGGTGATATTTTGGGAGTATTTGCCTTCTGCAGACTCCCTGATATAGAGGTATTTGTAAGTCCAATTGTGCTTAAAGCCGTTCAATTCCTAGTAAAATGTTAAATTACTAAACATTTAATTTTAGTAAGTTAGATGATTCATAAGTCTGTTTTAAATACTGCATAGGAGTTCTGCCTTCAATATGGAAATACTGCTTTTCTGTTCAAAATGTAAAAAGAATGGAAGGTACAAACTTTCTATTTCACAAAACAATAAAAAACAATAAAAACAACTATTTACAAACCTAAAATAACCTTAGCTTTCGTTGGTCCACTGCCAGCGTCATCAGAGTGAGTGTTTGGGGTGGGGAGTTTGCTTATAAACCCTGTTGACTCCATGTTTTACCCATTGATCGTGTAATGGGGCTGCCCGTCCTAACTGACAGTAATTGCTTTAGTTGTCCCGCATCTCCCTGTCCGCATTTCAGTCTTGCTACTTTCTTTTCTCCCATTGTTCCTTTCTTTGCCCTTCCCACTCCTGTCAATCCTGCCTTTCCTTGCTGTGTCCCCTCTCCTGGCATATCCATCTTCCCCGCCCGTCTTTCTTGCACCCGGCCATACAATGTTGTTGCTGATCTATCATCCAATTGCCCCCCTCCCGTAGTCATTGTGGGCTGCTTATCTCGATCTAGCATTGTGTGTGCCCTTCAATTGCCACTCCCCCTTCCCCCCCGGTGTATCCACTTGTCGTTCCCGTCTTCTGCTGTTCATTCCTATCGATCCTGTCTTCCCTGGTTGTTCTTCGTGCCTAGGTGTGCCCAACAACCTGGACGACGATACCCTATGTCAACGGGGTATTGGAAGTGACGGCACACATACTAGAACCGTATAATGTCAGTATGGCCCATCGACCTAATCAAACACTCCGTACCAAGATGATGCGCCCCAAGGAGCCACTACCCGAGGAAGAGAAATATAGAGTACAATGTAAGGACTGTCAGTGCAACTACACTGGGGAGACAGCCAAATGTATTAAAACTAGAATCCACGAGCATAAGTTGGCTGTCAAAAGGCAGGAACAGTACTCACAAATATGAACGCACATGGCCAGCAATGGCCACTTGCTTGACTTCATGGGGGCAGAAGCTATTGCCCAGGATGCCTCCAAAGGAGGTCGTCTGCTTAGGGAAGCCTGGCTCTCAGACATATACTTGATCAACTGGCATATAGAGCTACCACCGGCATATCAAGCATTGAAAGCGTATGAAGAGCAATCCAAAACACTGACCATGCTCAGAAGGAGAGGAGCCAAGGAAGATAACAACTACATGACCCATGTGGATGAAAGGGGACTGGATACACGGCAATCTGTCGAGGCCAGGGGAAGGGAACAGGTAAGGAGTGAGTCCGTGACAACTCCTGGCAGCTGGACATGGAGGGGGTGAGGAGAGAGCGGACCACATCCAGTGCATGCACATATGGATGGAGATTGATCGGAGGGAGCGGAATCAATTAGAAGGGGAGAGGAAAAGCAGGAATGACAGGGAGGCGAAACAGACACATGGTTATGCCCAACCCGAAGGCCGGAGGGGATCCTTGAGGGAAAAACGATGAGCGGAGGAGGATGGTGCGATCCATAGGGAGGAGGAACAGGATGAACAACAACTTGCTGAGCCCGGACGGTGGGGCAGGGCTAGGAATGATCCTGCAATCACTTTAACCGATCGGGTAGAGACGAGGCAAGGGGAGAAGGACGCTGCAACGCGCGCACACGCCTACGTGCGAAGAACAACTTGCTGAGTGCGGATGGCGAAGCAGGGCTGGGAATGATCCAGCAGTCACTCTGATCGACCGGGTACGGACAAGGCAGGGGGAAAGGGCACTGCAACGCATGCGCACACCTAGGCACGAAGAACGACCGGGGAAGACGGGATCGAGGAGAACAGCAGAAGACGGGAACGACAAGTGGATACACCAGGGGGAAAGGGGGGAATGGCAATGGAAGGGCACACACAATGCTAGATCGAGATACGCAGCCCACAATGACTATGGGAGGGGGGCGATTGGAAGATAGATTAGCAACAACATCATATGGCCAGGTGAAAGAAAGACGGGCGGGGAAGACGGATATGCCAGGAGAGGGGACACAGCAAGGAAAGGCAGGGTTGACAGGAGTGGGAAGGGCAAAGAAAGGAACAATGGGAGGGAAAAAAGTAGCAAGACTGGAATGCGGACAGGGAGATGCGGGACAACTAAAGCAATTACGGTCAGTTAGAACGGGCGGCCCCATTACACGATCAATGGGTAAAACATGGAGTCAACAGGGTTTATAAGTAAACTCCCCACCCCAAACACTCACTTTGATGACGCTGGCAGTGGACCAGCGAAAGCTAAGGTTATTTTAGGTTTGTAAATAGTTGTTTTTATTGTTTTTTATTGTTTTAACAATAAACGGCTGTTTTATATTCATCCCAGAGTTCGAGGATTTTATACTATTGTACAGATATGCCTGGGATTCGTATTTTTATAGTTATTAGGGATATATAAAACAAAAAATATAATTGCTTTAAAAAGAATTAAAAAAAATTCTTTAAAAAGAAAAAAAACAATAGTTATGAAAATACAATTTCAATTCTTTTTATACTTACCTAATATAAGTATGTACAAGTGAATACAAAGTCTACATATCCCTGTCAAAATGTTTTCCACCATATAAGCTGTACAATTCAATTGAAAAATAAACTGAAATATTTTAGGGGGGAAAATAAAAATAAAAAGCATAAATAACATGGTTGCACAAGTGTAGGAGCCCAAAAGACTGAATCTTTGGAAATCTTTGCCAACTTTGGGAAACTTTGCCAACTCTTCCTGCAAAAGTGCTCCAAATCTGCCAAACTGGGAGGTCATCCCCTTGTGCACAGCCCTCTTTAGGTCACCCCAGAGATTTTCAGTTTGGATTCAGGTCTGGACTCTGGCTGAGCCATTCCAAACTTTCAATCTTCTTATGGTGAAGCCATTCTGTTATTGATTTGGAGGCATGTTTTTGGGTTATTGTCATGTTGAAAGGTGAAATTCCTCTTCATCTTCAGCATTTTAGCAGAGGCCTGAAGATTTTATGCTAAAATTGACTGATACTGTATTTGGAGCTGTTCATAATTCCTTCCACCTTGACTAAAGCCCCAGCTCAAGCTGAAGAAAAACAGTCCCAAAGCATAATGCTGACACCACGTTTCACTGTGGATATGATGTGCTTTTGGTGATGCGCAATGTTGTTTTTGTGCCAGACTTACTTTCTGGAATTATGGCTAAAATGTTCAGCCTTGGTCTCATCAGGCCAGGTTAACACATTTTCCCACATGCTTTTGTCAGATTTGATGTAGGTTTTTGCAAAATGTATAGGGCTTGAATGTTTTTCTTTGCAAGAAAAAGCTTCCATCTTGTCACCCTACTCTACAGCCCAGATATATGAAGAACATGAGAGATGCTTGTCACATATAGTATGCAATCAGTACTTGCCAGAAATTCCTGTAGCTCCTTTAATGTAGCTATAAGCCTCTTGGCAACCTCTCAGATGAGTTTTCTTCTTGTTTTATTCATCAATATTGGAGGGACATCCAGTTCTCAGTAATGTCACTGTTGTACCATATTTTCTCCACTTGCGGATGACTGTCCTCACTGTGTACCATGGCATATCCAATGCTTCGGAAATTGTTATGTACCCTTCTCCTGATTGACACCTTCCAACAATGAGATCCCTTTGATGTTCTGTAAGCTCTTTGCAGATCATGGCTTTTGCTGTAAGAGGCAACTGAGTAAATGTCAGAAAAATCC